AACCACCGCCACAAGCCAGCCAGCCCAAGCACTTCCCCCCCACCCATGAAGGAGGCCCGCCACCCACCCAGGTCGAGGTTATTGACGAGGACGGCGCCGCCGCTGGCGGGTGACCCCGGGTAGTCGTACCATGCCAGGGTGACCGACAGAGGGCCGCCCGATGCGGTGACGCAGTACTTGTGGCTGGATCCCTGGGACAGCTCGGCCATGTCGACGACCTTTTATAGGGTGCAAAATACACAGGCGGTTGGGGCAGTTGGGGCAGCAGTGTGGTGAAGGCATGGTGGTTTTGCCTTCACTGTCGTCGCCGCCAGCAAGGGGTGCGTGGATAGGGCGAGCAGCGCCGCGGGGCTGGCGAAATGGACTCAAGAGCTGGCGGGGCAGGCGGCGGCGGGATGCGGGGTGTGGAAGAGAACGAAGGGCAGGCAATGGGGAGAGCGGGTTGGGAGGCGCGCGCGCGAGAGTGAGAGGGCGTTTCTTTGATCACCTGCATGCGCCAGCCGCTGTCGCGCATGGGCAGGGAGCGCGTGAGGTTGACGCGGCCAAATCCCTGCTTAAAGCTGGGGGCGGGCTCCAGGGGCAGGCCAGACTGCAGGCGAGATGGTCGTCGAGAGAGAGTTGCAATGCAGATGAGAGGCGGCTTGACAAAACAGTAAAGGCGTGTCCAGTTTGCACGCCAGGGCTCGCAGCAATGGGCAACGCAGGATGAAGATCTGCAGCCAATTGGATGCAGCAGCCGATCCCTCGGCCGGCTTGTGAACCTCGTCAACCAACTCTGCAATATACCAAATGCAAGTCAACTTCCAAAGGATCCATTTTTGTCCTTAATCTCGGCACACGCCGCATCAGATACAAAGCCTGCTGCCCCATTCCCCCAAAGATACACACCTCTGTATTGCCGAGCATATTGCTCGCGCCCCCCAGCAGCGCCGCCTTGACCAGCGGCCCGGATGGCGTGTAAGCGTCGGCAGCCTCCTTGGCGCCGCTGGGGTAGAACCCGTCAACAAAGTACTGCCGCACGAGGGTGACGCTGCCTGTGACGACGGGGGCCGCCATGGACGTGCCCTGCGGTGCAACCAGAATGCCACCACCCAACATGGCCCCAAGCCCGGCAGGAACGCTTGACGTGCAGCGAGTTTTGATGGGGTTTGGGGCTGACCAGCCCGCGGGCATGCGAGGCATCAACCAACCCCCCCGCCACGGCCCCCCGGCCCGGCCCTGAAAAGGGCCTGCGCCCGCACCCATGCCCCACCTGAGACCGCCTCGTCGCGCACGCGTCCACTGATCCGCTCAGCTGCCCGTCCGACGCCGCGCTCAGCAGCGTGCCCGGCGCGACCACGTCGGGCTTGATGCGGCCGTCCGCGGTGGGGCCGTACGACGAGAACGACGCGAGGTGCTCGTAGGCGGGCAGGCCGCGCGGGGGCTCGCCGAAGGTGGCGGCCATGGTGGTGGCGGGGGAGGAGAGGAGCTCCCAGAGGTGGCGGCCAGTGCTGAGGGGGACACCAACCATGAAAACACCGTCCTTGGGGGTGAAGTTGGTGGGAAAAACGGTTGCAGCGGTTGAATTCGGTTGCAAACGTGTGAATACTTCGTGTGTGTGTGTGTTTGTGTGTGTGTGCGTGAGTGAGTTTGTATTTGTGTGTGCATGGGGTGTGTGTGCGTGCATGAGTTTGTATTTGTGTGTGCTTGGGGGGCGGGGAGTTGTGTGGGTGAACAGGGTGCATGCATAACGCTGCATGGGGCGCTGCAGGTGCACTAGATCCAGAACTGCCGGCTGTCGCGAATGGCGGCAGCGCCCCCACCCCCCAACTCCGCACCTTGGCAAGGCCGCCCGCGTCCTCCTGGGCCTCCATCTGAAAGTACCCCTCCTGCTGGTCGTTGGTCAGCAGCACGCCCACCGCCCCCGCAGCCGCCGCATTCTCCAGCTTGGCCGCAAACGTGCAGCCCCCGCGCCGCACCAGCAGCAGCGAGCCCGGCGGCGCCGCAACCAGCGCGCTGCAGGCGGCGTCGGGGGCGGCGGCAGCGAGCGGGAGCGCGCGGCCGCGGGGGACGGGGCCGCCGAATGCGGCCTGGACGGCGCGGTACGTGAGGGTCTGGGCGTCCTTGCCTGAGACGACCACGTTGATTGAGAGCGAGTGCACCTGGGAGGGGGCAGGCAGCGGACAGACGGGCGGGCAGGCAGACATTGCTGAATTGGTGCGTGTGTGTAAGAGGATGAGAGGGATTGGAGTTGCCCAGCGCGTGGCGACAGAAAGGCACATGCAGAAAGAAGGGGGCCATGAAGACCAGGGAGACGACGTAAATCAAAGGACAGACAAATAAGACTCTTTGAGTGAGATCAGAAGTTCAGGAGGCTTGGCAAAGAGTAACAACAAGCCCGGGAGCAAGCAAGCCGACAAATGCAACACCAGGCATGGCAGGTTGATTGAAACGGCAGGTTGGTTGAAACGGCATGAAATCAAACAACATCACACACAGGGCTTGGAGGTATAAGCCAGGGCAACAAACGCAAAACCAACACATAGGCTGTACGTCCTGCACTCTTGCCAGCAGGCAGACCATCAAGCGCACCTGCGCAGACGTCCTCTCCCCTGACAGGCCCAGGCCGGCGGCCAGCGTGGCGCCCACGGCGATCGCATTCTTGGACGTGGCCGGTGACGTCACCGTGGTCCTGTACTGCTCCGCTGCGCCCTGGGAATCGATTGACATCGGCGCGCCATTGGGAAGCAGTCATAGGTCAGCTAGTAGCTAAGGGTCTCGGCCTTGCACCCCGACTAAAGACTAAAACCGGG